AGTAGTACAGAGCAGCGAAATTACCAATGTATCTGAAAATATTACTACCCCTTTCACCATCATGTCCGGTTCTCCTGAGAAGAATACTAAGCAGCACTTAGAAGTTAGAGCAACTGGTAATACTCAGGGTAACTTGATGTCCGCGTATGTCACTGATAGGATCCAACAAATCAAAGACCGAAACATGAATGTAATCATATTAACCAGTCTTTTGAGCGTAATAACAGTTTTATTTTCGATCCCTTGGATAGTTTTTATATTTATCAAAAGTTCTCGTTGCGAAAAAGGACTTAAGTTGTGCAACCTCTTCTTTCAAACGGTGGCTCACGATTTAGTTTTCACCAAGTTTTACATTTTCCCATATCTCATATTGCTGGGAGACAGGCGTTTGAAAGACGCCTGGAGAATCCTTTTCTTAAAGCACATCTATAAACCGATTAAAAGTATCTGGAAAAATATTTATAACAAGTTTTCGCCACCTTATATGATTAACAACAAGGTTAACGTGCATTAAAAATTTTTGTTTTTTTAAAAAAAAATAATATTTTATTGGTGATACATGTACATGATATGAAGAAATAAAAATTTTTTATTGGTTTAAACATCTATTTTTTACCCTAGTTGTGAACTCAAGATTGATCAAGATTCTAGAGGAAAAAAAAATAGCTATTAGTTATGTATATTATAAAAGGAAAATAGATATAATTTTTATTAAAATATAATTATGTAAAAACATGGTTGAAATATAATATTAATCATACTAGTCCCTGTTCTAAGGTATCGTGCTCTTTTGATTTTTAAAGCTCATAAGGTTTTATTTTTTATATATTATAAATTTTCTAATTTCAAGGGCAATTGACAAATATTGCAGCTAGATATCCTGAAGTTCCTATTTCCAAATCTCAAATTCCAGTTTAAACCCAAATCCCTTGCCAATAACCCCTTGTTCCCCATTCATTTCTCAATCCTCCTCGTCTTTACCCATAATCCAGCAATCGAAGACGGGGCGAAGGGGGAATTTAGAATGCATATTATAATTTATTTTTTATAAACTGTATTTAACAATATTTTTTGATGTAAAATAAACATGGGATAGTTTCAATTTTGTATCGCGTCAAAATTGCATGCTGGTGAGTATCTGCTTTTCTATTGAAAGTCTGTTGGATAATCCAAGCATCAAGCTGCCATCAATGCAATATTTAAAAAAAATTTATTTTTACAGAAACATATCTTGTATTCAATATTTTACGATAAAATTGGTCTAAAGTTCAATTTATTATGAAATTATTTAAAATCTTATACCGCAGTAATTTTTTACGCTAGATTATATTAAGTATTAAAGTAACTCCTTTATATATTTCCTAGTGCAGGCTTAAACAAGTAGCTATCCTTGATTCTTTTTTACTTCTTATTTTCTTCCTGATTTGTACTGGTATTTCATTATAGTTAGTTTTTATATGTAAAAAAAAAGTTTTTTAAACATATTTTATTTAGAGCAGGGATCCAAACAGAAACGATTATCGGTTCGGTTCAGGTTCGGATAAAAATAACGGTTCGGTTCGAACCTATAAAAACCGGATTATGTATAAGGAAAAAATTTTTTTATTTCATAATTAAAATAAAAACCTTCATTTTTATTAATTGCACATTATAAAATAATTTTTAATTTTTAAATATAACAAATAAATATATCAATGATTAATTTTAATATGAACAATTACTTAAAATTTCTTTATTAAGCCGCACAATTAATATATTTTCAAAATTCGTATCACTCAAATTATATCTATAAGGAGATAATATAAATTTAATTGTTGAAAATCATACATACTTGGGTAGCTGGCCTGGCATGCCAGTATGATATCAGATTTGATGTGTCATTTATAATACTATATGTAAATAATTTATATATTAGATTTAATTTTTTTCTAGGCATTATAATTTATAAGCTTAAAATATTTAAAAAATTTTGTAAAATGGCAATATACTAAAGTTTATAAAAATTATGATTGACCTTTATCAATCAAATGTGAAAACAATTTTAATATAATTAAAAATTTTGCAATATACTACTAGTAAAAACATTATTTTATAAGTATGAGACTCGAACCGGTTAAGAGGCATTTTAGCGGTTCGGTTCAGGTTCAGCTAAAATTTTTTAGAGGTTTAGGTTCGGTTTAGGTTTGATAAAAAATATTGGTTTTTAGCGGTTTAACGGTTCGGTTCAGGTTCGGTTTGGATCCCTGATTTAAAGAGTATTGTTATGTTATTTTGTTATTTTCAATGATTTAAAAAGGCCTTTTATTATATTTTGCTCAATTTATGTTATTTGATTTTATTGTTTACTAAATATCCGTCGAAAATAACAAAATAACATAACAAGAATTGGATTGTTATTATTTCATTTAAAGGTAACTCACTGAAACTAGGGGAAATTTTTAATATAAAAATAGTAAATATTACCATTGTCTTGTCTGTATATTAGTGAAAACTTTTTGAGGTAATAAGAATTCAAAGTTCTCAAAAAATTTAAGAAGACTTCTTTAAGTGACAGTCTTCGTTTATTAGGATTAGCACAAAATATTATTGGAAAATGGTAAAATATATCTATAAAATTAGTCAATAATTTTTTTTTAGGTATGCAATATTTAGAAAAATTTGCTGCCCTACACAGGCTTTCTCTTTTGAAAAAATAAGGGGGCCCAGAGAATGTTATCGAAATATATGAATCCCATATTTTTTAAAAAAAAATAACATATGGAAGATTTTAAAATGGAATTCCATTTGGGTTGTAGGTGGGATATCGAGAAATGATAAAAAATTTTTATAGCTGAAACTGAAAAAAGAGATAAAGAGACCGTTCTGGGTGTAATCAGTAAGCACGTTCATACTGATTCAACTATAATGATGGACAACTGGGAGGGTTTAATTAAATATTGATAGTTCATTTAATATTTTATTTTTTCTTATCCTTTCTGTAAAATATTTGTTTAAAATTTAATAGGACTCTGAACCTAATATTGAGACGCAGCCTTAACATTTTACCAACTTTTCATACATATATTATATAGTTTAAACCAATATGTAATGTTTAACTACAATACATGTAGGTTAGTGCTACAAAATATATTATTATTTTTCCCTTAATTACTCAGAATTAAAACTATTTAAAGTAATATTTACTATTTCAAAAAGATGAGCTAAGTAAAAATTTTAATTTTCTCAGAATTGAATTTCTTAGAAAATATAATATATTGCTCAGAAATATTTACTATTTATTTTATTAAAGTGTATAAGCATGTTTTTTGAGGTTTCAAATTAATCATTATTCTGTGTCCTAAAATAATTCTGAGAAAATTTAAAAAAAATTACTTGGCAAAATCTTCTATAATTTTTAAAAATAATCATAGACAGTTAGCAAATATTCTTAGCTTTTACAATTTTTTACTTTGATTGGAAAAATCTTTCAATATTAGTTCTACTTTTAATGACATAAAGCACATTTTAAAAATTTATTTTGGAAGAGGAAGGGGTGGGGCGTTATATTGGTTTTTTTATTTTTTATATATATCAGATATAGGTTACATATTACTTAACAATTGATAACAAAAGATCAATAAAAAATTTGGCAATTATGATTTATGGAACTTTTGTGTGCAAATTAATACTCAACATGTTATTTTCCTTTAAATAAATGCATTGGCAATATATTTATTGTTTCTAATGCGCTCGCGATAATGACTTCTTCCAAAAACATTCGCGGTAAAAAATTTGCTGTAAAGGGTTCGCGAAAAATGTTTCTCAAAAATGGATTCGCTCTAATGAATTTGCGGTAATGGTTTCCCGGAAATAAATTTTCGATAATGGCTTTGCGATACTTTCTTCGGTATAAATGTTTCGGGGAAAAAAATTCGCAGAACTATTTTCGCGATATTACCTTTGCCATAAAATTCCTTCACGGTAAACGACATTTGCGATCAAAGTTTAGCAAAAAAGTGTTAGGCGATATAAGTTTCGCTGAATTGACCTGATACGGCTATAATCTATAATGGCCTTAACCAGTGTCCATAACCAATTGTTATAGATTTTAAAATATTAATTTAAATAAATTAAAATAATAATTATATTAAAAATATTTTAATTAAATTATAATATTAATTGAAATAAATTATAATATTAATTATAATATTCGAACGACCATTTATAAAATATATAGCGATATCTACATTAACTTATTTCTACTTCTTCTATATAATAACATTCAAATTTATATTCTAAAATAATGTTATATAACGCGAAAATTTTTTATATATAGAATCACAATGTGATTCATTTTTTCAATTTTAATAAAATAGTTTGTTGGATAATGATTATGAACTCGTCTCATTAATACTTTCAATTTTGTTTTTTATAAAAAAATACTTATTTGATAGATTTGACCTCGTCTTATTTTACTTTTGTTTTTATAAAAAAAATTTGATATTTGGATTAATTTGCTTTTCGAAAGAGAGATGTAATATTTTAATGATAATTTAAAACAAAATTTTCATTTTTTAAATTTTGTGTATCTTAGCTGATCATCATGTTTCTAACACCAATGAATTAGTGTTGTTAAAGAGTCAGTTTGTGTTAATTTTAAAAAAGACCCAATTAAAAATAATCTTATGAAAGCTTGGATATTTTGCTCATATATGAGAACTGCTTGGATCCTAATTTGTCAAATCTCAAGTCGTGTCTAATATTATTAGACTAAAACCTTAATCGGGTCATTTTTAAATCGACTCTACTAAGGCTTTTCAACAACAATACAATGAGCTCTTATGTGTTGTTGTTCAATTTAGAGATTATAAAAAACATTGCGATTTTTATAAAATATAAATTTAAAAAAAATTATATTGTACTCTCAAAAATTAACTATTGTTTAAGATATAAAATTGATATATTTTTTAAATATATTCCATAATGTCAATATTAGACTAATGTCAATTATGATGTGACCTGTCATAGTATGACTTGTAGCGAAACGCTAAAAAAATAATTTTGATGAATTCGAAAACTCCAATAAGTTATCTTCATCAACTGTGTTTAAAAAAGGGTTTTATTCAATTTCATTTATGTTTTATATAATACTATTAGAATTTTGCCTTAGCTTATTTGTTAATTTTTATTTTTTGCATATTTAAATAATACATCTATAATAGTGTTTATTCTAATTAGAACAATTTAAATGAAATTTAATTAAAGAAATGATTGCACTACGTAATATATGTATTTTCTAAATGTTGCTTTATGAATTTTTATTTGGCTTTTATAATATACTTAAAACTCTGTATTTAAAAAACTAAGGGTTAAGTAAGTGAGATATTATATTTAATAAACAATCATTTCAAATTTGAGAAGTCAGCATATAAGCATAAGAATATGATATGATATATTTAAATAAAAGTATCTTGTAAATGAAGTTATTTTTTAATATTTAGTATTAAATGTTTTTAATATTATAGTAAAAAATTTTGTTATGTTAAATAATTATACTTTTTTTTTCATATGATATCTGAACATTTTTATTTTGATTAAAATTATAATTTAAAACTTAAAGGCTACACACCTCAATACAATCTAATTGGCCAAGAAGGAAGAACTCATGAACCATTATTTATTTTTAATTGTCATGTTGCAGATTTAGTTTCCAATGGGCAAGGTACGAGCAAGAAAAAAGCTAGACATAAGGCTGCTCAAAATATGCTGATATTAATATCAAATCTTGAAAACTTAGAACATCCCTTGATTGATTTGAAAAAAGACATATCAGAAATGTTTTGCATTTATTTTTAAATTATATATTTATTATCAAATGTAAGCATATAAAAATTAGGCTATACTTCTTATATTGTTTAATTTAAAAATAAGATAAGATGCATTAATGATGTAATTTTTTTTTAAAAAAAAACATCTTATTGTTAAGGAATAGTGCTTCAATAGAGATATATATTAAAATAACTTTTTTTGCTTATATTTTAAATTAGTGTTAAAGAATGTGAACAACTTTTATCTGACAAAGCAATCTCCAATGAATCTCTTAACTTAATTGCAAATGAAAATATAGATAACAAAGATAATAATGTGGAAAATGTTGAAAATTCTGATAAAAAGGTGAATTTGAGAATAAAATTTTATACATTTAATGGTAAAATAAATGTATACCTGGAAAGATTATTCAAAAGAATTAATTGTTTATATAATGTATTCAAGATTCAAGCTAACTAACCTCACCTGAACCTCTGAAAATTTATTATGTGGGTTTTAGGTTTATTACATTATTATCTTTACCCTGGTTGACCATAAAATATAATTAATACAATATCCAACATAGCCTGTAGTTTTTTTTTATCAAGGAAGGTGATAAATTTACCTAATTAAGCTTTAAAAACATTTTGAACTCAGCCCGACCCATAAAAATATTTCGCATAATTTGCTTGACCCAGTCTGAAATGGTGGACTGGGCTATAGTGCCTGCTTTTGCTAACCTCTAATATATTTATTATTTTATTTTTTTTGTTTCAACTTAATTATTTTGATATTAGGGTTCTTAAAGTTAAGAATGATATAAGTAATAATTAAGTTCTCATTTCATATTAATATTGAACCATATTTACAAATGTACAATATATATATCTATATGTTTGCTCTTGCCATTTTTTATTATTATTTAAATACCTTTTTGCAAGACATCTACTGATATACATCTCACTAATGGAGAAATTCCTCAAAATACTGATGAATCACTTTCAAGCAAGGTGAATAATAGCAATAATCCTATAGGGGAGTTACTCGAGATATGTCTAACCAATCATATTCCCCCACCTACTTATGATATGGTCGATGCTCATGGTATGGCACATGAAAGGGTCTTTGTTATAGAGGCTAAAGTTGATAAGTACTCTGCTAAAGGTAATGATATTAAATCTATATCTTTCTCCTTTATTTTTTCATTTATAAATTTTATATAAAGCTAACCAGAGAGTGATTTATTTATTTAAGCTTGGTTATCAAATTAGTGTACTATGCATAAAAAAAAGCCATTTCATATTCACATTTTTCATGGTCACAAATCCAAATAATCTATATCTATTAGAAATCGGCAAATCATGGCCCGGCCCACACCCGTTGGTTTGAGCTTAAATTTTTTAAAATATGATATCATTACATGTCAAATAAATTTGTATATTCAAAAATATTTTCAAGAAACAAGGCACTTATAATATTTTATTTGTTAAAAAAAATATTCCATTTTTCTATATTTCAATAAATTCGGGCCAGGTGGACAAATAATTTTTGTCAGGCTTTTTGGGACAAATAAAAGAAAAAATTGGGGCTGGGCTTGGGAAATTGGGCTCGATGGATCACTTATAACTTTGACTACATTTTTAAATTTAGTTCTTTATAAAAATGGGAAACTATATTGAACATTTGTATTGAAGGTTCGTATTTCATATGTATACCAAACAATATTCTTTATTTCCACATGATTCAAATATATTAGAGAATCTTCTAACTCCTAAATATATTATCTCATGATAAAAAATCCTTTGTATCTTATTAATCCATCATTTTGGCCATAGACAATAATTGAAAACCGTCCATATCTGTCAAATACAAATCAACAGCAGATACAACAGTTTGCAGGGCCGGTTTTTATCCAACATCCCTGTTTTTTTAAGACGCCTTTCCCGCCCATCATTTTTTTAAAAAAATTCCACCCTCCTGTTCTGTCCACCCATTTGTCTAAAATAAATGTTTAAAAATTATCTTAATGGTTGGTTTGGCTATTATTTATAATATATAAAATATGGAATATTGTGAAAATATGAAAAAAAGGAAGGGATATTTAATAATCCGTTCTGCTCACATTTTTCCCCGATAAATTTTTAAAATTCACCCGCCCTCGCTTGTTCATTGTTTGAAAAATTAGGTTTAACCTGCCGCCACCCGCTGTCCACTTGGAGAATGGGCGGACGGGCATAAAATCCGCCTATTGCAGACCTCTGATTTGTAATACACCAAAAAATATTTTTTTTGCCACTATTTTAATCAAAATTATATACTTTTTTTTTGACGGAATTTCATCATTCTTAGGAATTAAAGATGGCAACCAAAATTACAATTAAAAATTATTTCTTATGTCTCATCTAATGTTTTCTTAATGGAATATGTATTTTTTGGAAACCATGTACGATTTCAGAATATAAACCTAGTATTTATCAAAATTAATACAAAAGTTTTTGAAAGAATTTTAATTTAAAATACAATTTCAATGACCAATATTAACCATATTTTGTTTGACAAGTTTCTTAATATTAAAGAATGAATTATACCTCTCTTGGAGGATGGGGGGGGGCAGGGAGTGCTTATCCATATATTTTTTATTTTCATTGAATACCAAAAATGAGGGGCATTTAACAGAACGTTACGGGAACGGAACTCGGATACGGAACAGGAATGGTGATTTGGAACACGTTCCTGGAACGCATCCAACACATCCTTAAAAATAAAAAATGATGGTTATAATTGTTCCCTTCTCTCATATAAACCCATTAGATTATATGTGATATTTTTGAAGAAAAATTTCACTGTTTTGTTATAGGAATTATATTTATTATGATAAAAGCGTTTTAAATTCCAACGGAAAGGTGTTTGTCGACTAAATCCAATTTATGTAACACCCAATGACGATAATATTTTAGCCAATGTCATAATTATTAATGCCTTTGTTACCATGCCAAAAAATTCATCAATTATTATATTATTACTATTTTGGAAAAAAAAAAGGTGAAGCGAAATCGAAAAAAATGGCTAAAAGACTTTCGGCCATAAAATTATTGACGATAGTTAAGAAGGAGATGGTGGACATACTCGTGACCGATCCCATAGCCTCCAAGCCCGATGTAAAGGTCGTAGATGGGGTAGATGGGAATACCTTAAATAAGGATTCTGTGGAAAATGTAAGTTTCCCCTTGTTATGAGATTCTAGCATAAGCAGTATCATTATTCGAAGTGGGCTAGGTGGAATTTTTTTGTATAGGATGAATCATTACCGTTAAGGGATTTAGGTGTTAGTCGTGTAATCAGGGCAGAATTTTGATTTATTGTAGTATTTAAAAAGGGTGTCGTATCAGCTGATCCTTAATTAACTATTCATAATTTTTCGAATTGTTATTATAAAAACTTGAAAGGAGAGAACCGACAGCTAATAACTTCTCTCTTTTTGTTTAAAAAAAAATAAACCTTAAAGAATCTAATTTCTAAACCAGAAAACGAACCGGAAATGGATTTGTTCTAAAAATAAGTTGAACAGAACTGATCCATTATAAAAGTTTTTAACTAAAAACCGGAAATAGAACTGACCGTTATACATAACGATTCGACTCCCTGATTACTAAATGTTTCAAAAAAAAAATCTAAGGCCGTGTCCAGGTTCTTCTTATTTTCTAAAACAGTCGTCTGTTTAGCCGTCTATATAGCTTCCTCTAAACAGCCTAAAAGAAAAGAGGCTATTTTGATTGACGTGAATAAATGGTAGCGATAATTTTATAACGTTATTTTTTAAAAAAAAATAAGACGAACCAAAGCCCGGCCTAAATGTTTGTTTTATTGTAGAATTAGTGTTAAATGTCAGTCATCGTTACAAATTTTTAATGTGTGTTCTTTAGAATTTATATTTATATATATATATATAAATTTAATATATTATATAAATCTTTTTCTTTTTTAGAATGAGAATGTACCTGTTTGTCCTGTACCCGTCTCAAATGTCAATAAAAATTATAACATTTATCAGATCAAAGACCTGATATCGGTTAAAATTAAACATAAAATGGCTTCTTTTTTTTATTGTTTTTTAAAAGTCGATTGTCGATGTTAACTGTATACACATATTTTATTTTTATTTATTTATTTTGTGTTATTCTAATTAGTATTTTGAATGTTTAAGCTCGTGATAATTACGATTAGTGTTGTTATAAACGGCTCGGTTTGGCCGAATAAATCCGTTCTATTTGGCGCACTTTTGTCGGGTACGCCCGAATCAAAATACGGCCCAAATAGGATCTTGGCCCAAAATGTTATTATGTAAGCACTGAGATTTTTGCTCGTTGATGACAAAAAGGTTTGAACCTCTTTTTTTGCCCAAATCTTATAGCTCGCATAATGTTATTTTTGGCTAAAATCTTAATCGGGCCGTTTAACAACACTGATTTACGATTGTCACTTTAGATATTGTAATTGATTTTAAATAGTCATATAAATTGTGAACGATTAATATTAATGCCTAAATTTAATAATAAATTTATTTTAGGAAAATGCTGGTAAAAATGGCACCAACAAATCTTTTCCCGTCACCGGATTGAACTTACCCCAGGACAATATAGAACAAGTGAAATTATTTTATACGTATATCCTCACTATTGACTATTATCGTTATAGTCCCTTTTTGTAATTTACAAAAATTTCTCGAACCGAAGATAAAAAAAATGGTTGTAAAGCGGTTTATGTTTGTATATCGTTTTGCTAGGTATATTTAATACACGCTGATAAAATTGCTAAGAATTTGTGGTAACTAGAACTAAAACTGATTTTAAAATTTCAAAGAACCTGTTCTAACAATGTGTAATGGCGGTTTTCCGGGATTACTTAAGCCAGCCCCCCCCCCGATCTAATTTCTCCACTTTTATGGTCCCGAGCTGGCATCGTTATTTGTAGGACCCAATATTCGCCCGGTTCACACCCCTGATTACATTCACTTGCTTTTTTTACTGAATTCTATAATTTTCTTTTTTTATAGAATGCTCGATTGAATTATTATTTGACTCTTTTAAAATAGATCCAGGGAGAATTTTAGTGTATTTTTCCCTGCAATAACCATGTCTCTTCTTAATAGTATCACCATTTTTCGGTAACACCCTGTAATAAAGTTGTGATATATCATCAAATTTAGGTCGTATTACACCTTTGGAGAGAGAGAAAAGTTAACTACAAATTGTATGACCTGTTTGATTAATTGTAGTTTTGCTGGGTTTAGTTTTGGTTAGTTTAATAGTAAATAGGAGGAAGGATTCACAATTCTTTTTACATGTTTTAACCATAAAACGAGTTTATAGGAAATTTCTTTATGAATCAATGTTTAATTATTAAAGTTTGTACAAAATATGCGACAAAATTCCTGACATTCATTCATTCGCGATATAATTATTTAATCAAAAATTTAATGAAAATCTAGTTTTCCAATATATTTTAAGGGATGTGGGAGGGGGGGGGGCAAAACACGATCACATGATAGCTTGTTCAAAATCTGAAGTTTAGGAGTTGCCCCCATGGGATTTGTCCTATTGGTATATATATATATATATGGCGTCAACCATTGCATGCTGAAATGCCAAAGATCATCAACGATATAAATATTTTGCACCTTTATTACAGGGATCCAAGCCACCTCTATTAACCATGATTATTTATCAAACCTTACCCAAACCTCGAAAATGGTCAGCACCCTTTTGAATGTGATGCTCCATATATGTTCGAATAAATTTGTTTGCTAAAAAATTCGAACAAAACGGATATTATTATTTTTACGAACCGGACCGGAACTCAAAGCCGTTATTTTTATATGAATCAAACCGATATTCATTACGATTCTCATCCTTTTTTTAATTTATTTTATCACTCTACTTTTATTTTTTGACCCATATTATTTCTCCACAAGGTATATCTAGAATTCAGGGAGCCCAAAGAGTCGTTGTTAAAATTGAAATCCATGGATATCCCCAATCCCGAGGACGAAGAAGCGATAGCAACGGTGGATATGCAGCAAATGAAATCTTTGCTAAAATCCATCGCGTATGAACAGGGTTTTTCCATCGAGTACACCCATCACTACAACAAAAATAACGACAAATGTTAAGCCCTTTTTATTTTTTTTTATTTTTGTGTTTTTTAAAGATCGTAATTATCTACGCTTTTCGAAGATCCGACCTAACCTTGAATTCATGGTGGCGCGATCGCGATTTAACGACAGTTTTTAAAAATCTGTTTATGAGATCAATTTTTCTTTATTAAAATCATTATTTCTTAGATTATTACTGTGAACTGGATTAAAGATAAAATTAATATTAATAAATAAATAATCTCAAACAGATTTTAAAAATCGATCAGCTGGCGCCATTTAAAGTAAAGGTAGTGTTTGCTAGCTCGGGTTTTTAAAAACTGCTAACCTCTTATTTTAGCCAAGAATATTAGGCAAGCCTGGATATTTGGCTCATTAGAAGACAGAAATGTTTGGACATCTATTAACAAAATCTCGAGGCATTGTGTTATTATTTTTTTTGGCTAAAATATTGGGTTAGCCGTTTAACAACACTACCCATAAAAAGGTTTAAATATTCGGTTCGATTGTCAAATCATCGCGGTTTTATAATTACGTGGAGTATGGTAATGATCTTTTGGCGTTCCGTTTGTCGAAAATGGTATTGTGCTCTATAAAAAAAAAGGAGACATGTTATTATCTGTAATTAAATTATTATTTTCATACCTATCATTTAAAGTCCCGCATATAGCCTATCTTCAGCTCACTACTACCCCTATAATTTGCACAGCCGCACTGGGAAAATCCAGTAGGACGCAGGCGTACGATGCTTCCGTTTTAGACACTCTAAGATCTATCCAGTTAACACTGAGCAGCAGGGAAGCCTGGGATTCTCTTTACAAAAGCACGCTCGAAAAATCGTTGCCTCATGACAACCTTAATGAATTGAAGGACGAAACAACGGAATGGTGGAATACCACTACCTTTCCCGAAATATTCGAGATACCTTTAGAGGGTATCATTAATACCAAAGACGCGGGTAAAAATAAACATCAATTTTCTTTATATTTATATTTTAACTTTTTTTTCTTGTTAATATCGATGATTTTATACACATCGAAAATTATTTTAATTTTTTACCAATGTGATCCTATCCAAATAAATTTGTTTTTTTTTAAAACAACGAACATAATATAAAACCAATATTAATAATAAAATAATAATATCAATTCTCATATTTTGTAAAAACTCCATTACTGAAAAATTTGATTTTTCTTTAAATATATTTTATCTTCAAAAACTTTAATGCCTTTTGTAAAATTATACAAATATAAGGTTGAGAGATGAGGAAGGAACGAAATGTATATTATTCAACTTTACTTCTCTATTATAGCTGGATATTGATTAAATATAAACCGATTTGGCTTAATTTATAACACTCGCAGAAGAATACGCTTTGAGGCGCGAGTTAGCCCTCATTTATAGTAAACGCTTGCTATTCCAGCGTTACGTTATTTAAAGCTATCGAAATCACAGCGGATCCTTCATAGCTTTAATAATTTATCAAATATACGTTGCAACATATGTTTTTCAAATTTTACCGTAGCATTATCATCATGACGCTCCATATTTACAAAATTGTACTTATTTATTAGCTAGATTTTATAAATAACGCAACGCTTGAACATAACACGTTCACTATAAATAAGACCTTTGTTTGTTTACGCTTTGCTAAAAGTTTCACCTTTTTTTTTAACCCCGAGGGTGAGATTATAAAGCTAAATTTATCCGTTTTGAGCCAGCTAAAAAAAATTGAAGCAATTACCTAACTATACAATATTAAATCCATTTGCATGTTGAATTTTTCAAAATTTTTAGATGAAAAAACGACTGAGCAATCGGAAGCCAACCGTCACTTGGCCGAAAATCAAGATTGGTTTTTCCAGGACACCTTCATGCAAAAATTTAGACCCCACCATAAAAAGAGTAAAAAGGATGCGCTGAGCGATTATTTTTTGGACTTCGACCAGAACGGAATGGATTGCCAGATAACGAATCTTATAACCGATATAGGTCACTCGCTCGACACTCCAATCAAACCGAATGATCGGCAGACGGAAACACGGAAAATAAATGCCTGATTACGTGAAACTGAGAAATCAAATTTATATACTTATTTCCTTTAAAAAAAAATTCTTAAAAATAATAAACAGTTAGGTAACACTCTTTTCTATTCGCGATACATTAATAGTATAAATGTCCAAATAATAAATTTAAAAAAAAAATTTATATATATATATATAACTAAAAAAAAATTGGAATTAATGTTTATCACATTCAATTGTGTTTCTCATCTTACCTTGAATTCATAATTAGCTCGAATCCTTGGCGAAGTATACAAAATATTTTTTTTTGTATTCTTTGCTACGAATTTGCACTTACTGTTGAGTTGGTAATGAATCATTTTTTTTTATCATGCAGTAACTTATTTTAAAATATTATGTCCTCCTCCCGTTTAATTAGCATGTTATAGGATACGATGTTTGAAAAAGGACATTTTTATGTTTTGTATGACCAAAAAAGGTTATAAATTTCCTTACAATTTTTTTTAAGTGGTTTGTTATAACAAAGTATGGCAATAATATGTATTTCAATACCATCGAATAAATTATATTAAATAAAAAGCAAATTGTCATTGTGAATTTATGAAAAATATTATAAATTTATTATATCTAATAAAAAATATGATATAGATTTAAAAATGACCGTAAATTTCTTTCTTTAATTTAAACACCCACAACTTAAATGATAATTCTTATATAATATCATTTATATGAATGGTTAAATTTCTTTTTGGTGTCATTAATTTCAGTCATCTGCGCATATCATCCATCAAGATTAAGTCTTTTCAACAATCATCAATTTTTAATAAGTGAGCCATATTTTACCTTTTTATCCAGCATCTATATTCCTATTTTTTTCCCCAAATATATCCAGTTTATCTCCATAGCTCCTTGGTCAATAAATACTGTTCCTCTCGAGTGAAATAGCAATATTTTTTTAGAATATCTTTCTCTCATCTAATTATAAAAATCCTTCTATTTCTTAGACATTATAATTACGTGAAAAGAATATCTATTTACGAAATACATATATTCGTATATTTTATCTTTTTACCAATTAGTCATTAATTTTTAGGCTTCAGCGATATTATTATTAGGATTGGAAATAAATAATATATATTTTAAAACAAGTAAAGAATTAAGAAAGCTATTGATGCTAGGGCGTCGTCCTAGTTAAACGTTTTCCCCTAGGAAATTTATTCATAAATAAATATTAAGTGGGTAAAATTGAATAAATATTAACACATTTGGTTTCTTTAGCATTGTTGAAGGTCAAAATGCCTTGCTTAGAATCAATATTATTCTCAGTTTTACAATCGTATGATTAAATCTTGAGATTGTCCCTAAAAGTGACTAATGCTGATATTACAACAGGAGTAAAAAGATATTCTCAAGAAATATCTAACTTGTATTTATTTGTTTTTTGCTCTCCGTAATTTGCCATTATTGATGGTAAGGGAGGTAGATTTTCTACAAAAAGTTTTAATATAACAAATAAACATCTATTCGATATCAATTGCAAAAAATACAATATGCAAATAGAAGAACAAAGATGTAAGGAACACATTTGTCATAGAGAGCAACGTTAAATTTATCAAGTTCAAGTTTCATTATTTAAATTACTTTTATCTAACTTAGATTATATTATTCTTTTTTATATAAAATATTTGCCACATAATTTTGATATTGTCATATCAAATGTTTTATAATATTGTTTAAAATAAATATAATATATATTTTACTTTATATTCAAAATCATTAAATACAATAGCCTTTAGCATATACAAATAATTCAATTTTAAATATCTAATTAAAATTAATATTTATAATAAAGATGCTAGACACATTTAGTTACTACTTTCAAACCTAAACCCTTCGATAAAAGACGCGAATGGTTAAATAATAGCAAGTTTCAATGTCATAATTTATTTTTGTAAACCAGCGTATTTGGAGAATATAACAAGCAATTATTGTTTCTTTGTCTCATTTATTCATTAACCTAAATCAGGGCAACTTCTCTTTTGTAAATAGTATTTTCATTAAACCCTTTTAATAGTTTTTTTAGAAATGTGCCTTTTGACTTGATAAAGCTTTCAATATAATCTCGGAAATCATTCACATTTATTTCAAATTTAATTGGTTTTCTCCACGTTTTTAAGTAGTGTATAACCCCCATCAAAAACTATGCATAGACCCCCACCTCCTATTCCCCTCTCCCTCTTCCAAAAAAATAATTCTGCCTCCTTCAGCTGCGATATTCCTACATTATTCATTATATGTTAATGGTATTCTATTCATATATTTTAAAAAGAATAATGTAAATCATCAATATACTCAACTACAAGCCTGATTCTAGCTTCACCCATTGGGGATGGGGGCAGTGGCCCCTACACTTTCTTAGCGAATGAAGCAGAATACCCCCCTGAAAAGTAATCCCCCCCTCGAAAAAATGATAATTATTTTATGACATAAATTTCAAAAATAATATTTATTGCATCAATTTTTAATATATATAATAAATAAAATGCAAAAAATATATACTTTATAAATATTATTTTTAAATTAATAATTTAGATAAATTAGGGGAAGAGCAAGCGAAATAATTTAAAATTTCATCAATATTTAATTGTTTAAATAAATTTTTTTCCATTGATAATATGGTTAAATTATTGAGAAATGGATCTTTCATGGTACTACGAAGTCTTGTTTTAATTAATTTAATTTTACTCGTGACTCTTTCGGCAGTACATGCGGTTGTAGGAATAGTTAATAAATATTTATATAAAATTGTTAAATTAGGGAAAGCACGAAAATTTAAAAATAGACGATTAGTTAAAATAAATGAATAGTTTTCCCAATAGTCTATGAATTATCATAATCATCAGATGAAGCTAAATAATGATTGGTAAAAATATTTTAATTGAATAAATTTACAATACTCAGAATCTGACAAATCTTTAGATTCTTGAACCTCTAGGTCATGAGTAATAATTACATTCCCCATTTTGGCCATCTTATAAATATTTCTAAACTTCAACATTTCTTCGAAAATTTGACTTGAATTTAAATTGTAAAATTCACAGATATTCTCGATATCTTCTTTAATAATTGATTTTTCTGCCATTCCCTTTGGCGTAAAAAATAATGTTTGATGTAAAAATTTCATCGAATCATCATTAAATCTTTCGTTAAATTGCATAATAATTAATCGAGTGCAGCATAAAACACACCTATTTTAAAGCTAAAAAAAATTTCTATATTTAATGATGAAAGTATATATACCTCTCCTTTTTGGATTGTAATGTTTGAAGTCTAGAACTTTCAAAATCAAAAGGTACAAAATCTTGTGCCTTTGAAAAAACATCAAAAATCCAGTGTTATTATCTATTAGATTTAAAAATAATTAAGACAATAATTTATATTATACTTCTCAAATTAATCAAGCAATCTTTTGCCAATTGAATTTGATTTATTGCAAACCCTATATCCTTCGAAATGGTTTGCAATTTTGTATTAGCCAAACTTGTTATCAACAATTTTATCCAAAACACAAAGTGATAAGATAAAATCAAATTTTTCTATTCTAAAGACTATAACACTAGCCATAGTGGAAGTGGCATCTTCAGAATCCTTTAAATTTGTTAAAGCTGCCCTCAAGGCATCATAAAGTAGAAAAAACAATAGCTTTATATGACGATAGCCAGCTTCTAATTCAAAGCTTTTCTTTATATCGTTAAAATTAAGCCCAACATGTCTTTTTCTAATGTGATTTAGCCATTTATCATCTCTTATAATATGCGATTTGCAATTTTTAATTAGGCATTTGTATTTTTTTTGGTTAATATTTTTAGGCATATTTTAAAATTGGAAAAATAATTTATGACAAGAAATCTCGGATAACAACCTAATTTACTAAACATTGACCAAAATTTCTGTCAATATATATTAAAAATATTAAGTTGAGGGGTGGGGGTCTTATTATTACATTTATAAACCAGAAATCACTTGATCATGACGGATGCAACAAAATAGTAAAAGAATTAAATAATAAAGAAAATTTTAAAAAAATTTAAAAAAATTTTTTTAAAAAGAAAGTACCCCCACTTATATTTACTGAAGCAATTGCTTCGGACCCCCCCTTCCGTTGTAGGAGCCACTAGATGGGGGCAGGGGCAGGCAAAATTTATGGAGGGGCAGTTAAGAGTTCTTTTATTCCACAGAAAAAATATTTGAGTACAAAATTGAAATATACGATGCTATTTGAAAAATATCACATATAAAAATATAAATATTTTTATATTAGATGTTTTTCAAATAAAAAATATATATAAATGTAAGAAAATTATTTATGACTAATATAAATGTTCGATGATTGAGCAATGTGAAAACAAATAAAACGAAAATATTAACAATATAATTTTGGTTGAGATATATTTTAAAATGCTTGAAAAAATATTTCAAAGTTAATAGTTTCATTTATATCCTTTTCATATCATAATAAAATTAAGTTACCCTATATAATATTATTTCTCGATATCTGATTCAATGATTTTTTACAATGGTAGAGATGCTCACCCACAGCTCGATGTGGATGATCCAAATAATAAAATGATATAGAAGATTTGATTTGGAAATGAATTTCTGTATGGATATGCAAATTTGACCAAACTTGATTATCACAATTTTTAAATTAATTAAACCTTTTACAAATAATTTTTTAACAACTTCAATTTAATTTACTAAATCCTCTTAAATAATATTGCAAATTTCAATAAAGGTTTTAATTTATTTATCTAGAAAATATGTAATATCAAATAAATACAAAGCTTTAAGACTTTCTAAATAAATATAATTGCCATAAATATCTTTTCCGTACTCCCAAGCAAAACATTTAAAATATTAATGTAAAGACACTTAAAATGGTTTATCTGTTTTAATTTTTTTTTCAAGTTGATAATTAGCTTCTACAAAAAAATTGGAAAAATTTGGGATCATCTTCATAATACTTATCGATTTTTAAATAAAATCTTCGTAAATATCTTCACATTCATTTAAAATTTCAATAAAATAACATCATAACAAATTCAGTTTTTGATTATATTAAATGTTTTAGAAGATTCAATATATTTTGATTGACCAATTTCATTAATAGATTTTATAAAGTAAAAATTATTTTTAAGTAATGATATATAATGATAAATCAATTAGCGAAAATTATTATAAACAGCCAAATTTTCTGCTACTTGAGGACAAAATATTTTTCCACACCTTTTTTTAAGCAGAGTATAAAAAAAAATTCTCTTATAATTTATAAAAATAAAATTGTTAATATCATAGAGACCAGGTATATAATAAAGGTATTAAATAATTGATAGATTCGAAAAGCTCACTTTTAATTAAATATAAATTTTTTATTAGCTGCCAAATTAAAATAATTTTTAAAATTTTTCAAAGCCCTTGATCATAGTTAATTTCACTTTTTTATAAAAAATTTCTCTCGATTGTAATACTCATCACTAATTTAAGTGGTTTTGAACATTCTTTATGTCATATCGGATTAATATTTTTTTTAATTGTTTATATTACATATTACATATTACACAAATTACACTAACCCATATTGCTTCTAAATAAATTTAATTAAACAACTAGTTCGGACGAGCCGGTTCTATATCTAGTAATTAATAAAAATGTTTTTAATTGATTTTCATTAAGTGGAATCCAAAGAGCACACATACATAAATCAACTGCTGTGATGTCACAAGCTCCTAATCTTATAAAATTAGCTTTTACACAACCTATACGTAAGAGACCACCGAGAGCTAAAAGAATTCCATATACATATGGAGATTATTTCGCGGTTTTACCAGTTAGGTAAGATACTTATGAATTTATTGCATTTTAACAAATTAATAGGTTTGCATTTAATGAATCACCTGTCTTTAGATACATGTGTTATGGTGCTGTTGTTGGCTTAATCACTTCATATATTTTCCAAGGAATGCGTAATTTTATGATTAAATATATATAAGAATTTAATCTCTTTAAATAGTTATGTCACCTGCAAATATGGCTGCTTTTAAAGAAAAGAAATTAAAAGAAAGAATAACCTATGAAAGTTTAAATAATTTTTTAATTATATTTCTAATTTTAATAATTAGCAAAATTTGATACATTGGATAGTGGACATCATTAAATCGCCATTTCATGATTTTAAATATTTGCTACTTTTATTCTTTGTACTTCTATTATAAATTTTATTATAATAAAGTTTGGTGTTTATAAAATATTTCAACTCTTATTTAAAATTTGGTTGAATGTTTGAAAAAATTATTTGTCACACAAAAGTACATTATAAATTTTTAAATCAACCTTAATAAATCTAATAGTAATTCTAGAAAATTTTTGATATTCCATGTTCATTCATAATAATATTTAATTGAATATAACATGATTTAATCAATGGCATAAATAAGATAATACTGGGGGGAGGGGCAGGCATGTATGCAGGAACTTGATCTGGGGGGGGGGATAATAAAATTTTAAGAAATATTATTGTTTTAAAAATATCAAGCATAATATTATAACTAATAACTATTTATAATACACAATTTTAATTTAATGTGAATTAAAAAATAATAAATAAACGGATATAATTGGCGATATAGAAAAACTATAAAATATGAATATAACCACTATATCAATCACTTAAATGGCCCAAAATAGAAATTTGAATTTTTTGAGCCTTTAAATAAAATTTATGTTGGAAATATAAATTAATACACATAAAGTTTCTTAGAAATAATTGTATTTTGTATGTTATATATTTACATGTAAAATCCAATCTTAGTTGGGATTGAGCTAATTTTTCAATCATCTCATCCTTGCTTGTCGTCAAATGTCTATGAATCTTCAAAGATCCAAAGCTTTCAATCTACTTTCAGAAGTTGTTTTTCTTGGTATGTTTTTCAGAGACCTGCAAGCCTGGTCCCCATGCTGGACCATATTTTAATTTTTTAAATATACTCAGGCTGGGCCCGAATATTTTTTAAAAAAAACAACTGGGCAGGACCTGAAAATTTTTTAAAAAAATATCGGGCCAGGTTGTATATTTTAAATCGTTATTATTAACCATAAAAATCAAAAAGAAATATAATTTATCTGAAAATTTTATTTAAAAAAAACCAGACGGGCCTGAAATTTTTTAAAAAAAATTCGGGCCTGCCATTCAAATGATACCTCTGCAGGGCTGTTATTCTTCTTAAAAAAGAGAATGTTCTCTCATTAGTTAACTAATGGGAAAAGTTAATATATATAAACCCTTTTAATACATTGGGAATATAATTTAAATGTGTTTGAAATGCAAAGCATCTATATAATTTTTTGGGACTATATCAACAATAGTTAATCTTATAAACATAGTTATTCAGCTAATAAGGCATCATAAAATACTTTAACATCTTCATGATAAAAATCCAACAAACATTTTATTTTCTATCACCATCTGAAAAAGGGTAGGAAAGCTTTTATCGAAGTAATATTTGCAGATTGGTAAGTGCTGCATGATGAATTAAAAACCATTCATTTATTTGGGATATAAATGTATCTATATCTTAGATATACTCTTCTACTGATCCTATATTAATGTTTTAATTATGAGCTTGCCTTGCTGCAAGTCGAGGGAGACAAATATTAAACACATATAGCTCTGCTTTTGACTCAACAATAACATATAAAATATTAAATTCTTCATCAACATTTGCCCTAATTACCTTGAGTTCTAATAAAATGCTCTCTGCTATTCTCATCTTCTTAATCAAGTCAATGTCATATTTTTAAAAAGTATTACATATGTATAATTAAATAATACATTCTAATGAGAAAAAAATTTGTAATAAGCATTGAATCCAATAATTTTCTTGCTTCTGAGGAAATATTTCTTTCAGGCCATTGTGATATTTCAGTAATAGCAAATAATCGGCTCTTCTAATTCCATAAAAGCAGTTACTGCTTGATGACGAAAACTCTGTCTCATTGGACAAGCTTGCAATTTCTTTCTTCCTGTTGGACAAGGAGTTTCAGAAATAAATATTATATGACTTGAAATTTGAAAATGGTAGATAAATATTAAGCCACTAAAAATTTGAAAATAATAAGTAAATATTCCGCCGGAAAACTTAATCGAATTAATTGATAAAATAACTTAGCAGATGAATGTGATAAATAAATGTAATTAAATATTTAATATGTGATAGGAATATATATTAAAAATATAAACAATAATATTTTTGAAATATCTGGCCTCTGCATTTTTTGGCTTTGGGGTGGGGGGGGGGGGTTTGCCCCCCCCCTGCTGCGTACGCGCCTGCAGGGGTGAGTTTAAATCCTACTTAAAATATTTTTGTTTGGGTACGCTCTTTTTACCTTAAGTAATATAGCTTTGATCTTAGAAGTTATTATTAATTATTTATATGGTAGTATAATCAAATCTATAGGTGTAGTTTAAGCGGGCTTTATTAGCTTATATTTTTTGAAATAATTATTAGCATATTTATTTTTGAATATTTATTGGATTAAATTAATAATGCAAATTTCTTTCCAAAATTTATGTCAACCAAGTATTTCAGTTACCTTAAACTTGCTTAATTTGACCAATTTTAAGTCCCAATCAAATTTCTATTAACTACTAAGTAAAAAGTCTTAATTAATTGGACAAGTGTCAAAGTTTAGCAAAATTGCTTACAATGGTGCTTCAAATAAGATAGATTCTAATGTATATGAGATGAATGATAAAGAATTTTAGACAGGCTGAAGTTATAAAATTGTTTTTAAGGCTGATAAAAGGCATATTTATATTGTTTTTCTTCAATTTGTATAAAATATATTTTATGACCCAGTGAATGCTATGAGGCAAATACCTCTACTACATGTATTCTGCATTTGCATTTATTTAACTTTCACCTATATATTCTTGAAAAGACATTTTATAAATATTAGTTTTTTTTTTAAATATCATTTTCATAGTACAATAATACCAATTATGAAAATAATTTATTTTAAGTTTTCTATATTCGAAACTAATCTTAAATATTTAAAATTATTTTTAGGTAATTAACAAGTTCCTTACGAAATATTTTACTTTTTTTTTAAAAAAAACTTTATTTCTACATCGATCAGTCATTTTTTTAAATTTTAATAATCTCATTTTTCCAGAATCTGAAAAAAAATAATCTTTTGAAGCCAAAATCTTTGATTTTTTTTTAAAAAAGAAAGATTTTTGATCAAATTTTACTTAAAAATTCCAAACTATATTTAGTTAAAAAAAATCTTTTATAAGTTAAACATTTTATAATTTTCATGGACTTCAAATCACAAATTAAAAAAAAAAAATAGTAAAAGATTCATTCAAAAAATTGATTTTTTCCTTTATATTTGAAAATATTTTTTAAAGAATTTAATTTTCGACGAATCAGATCGAATAATGTTTTTATCCAATCGAATACGAATAGTACAGATATTCGATTGATTCGTATTTTTTGTAGGCACACTAAAGGGGGAAAGCCCAAGTGAATATACAAAATATAAGCCTATTTATAAATTTAGGTAGTTAGTGGGTTATCCTGAAGACGATAAAATAATGAAATAAATCATTTTATAAACGTTTTATGAACAGCCATCATTAAGAATTATAATAAAAGTATGGAGAAGGAGGAGGGGTTTAGATTTGTATGACATGCTGGATGAATCATTAATCTTAATTGTTGTAATTGCTGAGTCCTACGCAGGGGCAGAGCGAAATATGTGAATATAATTATTTACAAGTCACATTTTGTATGTAATCAAGGTTAACTAGTGATTGGCAGGCATGGAAGGATAATTCGAAAAAAAAACGGACACAAGATATGATGATTGGGCATCTGCAACACCCTATAAAGGTCCGAAATGTTCGCTAAGGTAGCTTAGGACCCAGTATATAAAATTAGGGTTCTCATTACGTCTATATAATGATAGAAATTCATTTTATTTCATAATTTCAACCACTCTTCAATATAAATAGGCAATATAAAATTTTTTTCAAGAGTTCACAATTTTATCAGTTTGGCGTGAATTAACCCCCATTATCGTATCTTATTTAAAAATTTGAATGTGCAAAAAAATAATTTTCTAGACACAAAATTTATAAATCACTATTAATTTATTTATGTTGTTATCAAAGATGTAATATTAACTCGTCACTCTAGTAATTATAAAATTTTTAAAATAATCCGAATCTTTTTGGGCCACCGCCATACTTGAGCGCTTGAATCTTAACGCTATTCACTATGTCTTCGGCCGTTTTTGTTCTCCCATAATAATCGACAAATTCGCCCTTGGGGTTAAGGAGATAAGTTATGATGGTATGGTCTACGATGTAATCGTTACGTTTGTCCCTCGGGCCCTGACTATAGTAGACTCTGAATGTTTTGCTCATCTCTTTGATCTGTTCGGGAGTCCCAGTGACGCCCACCAATTTGGGAGAAAACTCTTGGCAGTATTGGTTCACTATGGCGGGAGTGTCCCTCTCAGGGTCGACCGAGACGAACAAAGGAACTACTTCGAAGGAACCGGAGTTATTGTTCTTAGCCTTTTCTAGGTCTATAATATCTACGGCTTTGCACATTTTCTCCATCTCGTCCGGGCATATGTCGGGACAATGGGTGAATCCAAAATACATGAGAACCCATTTACCCAGGAAATCCTTGTTGGTGACCGTTTTACCCTTGGGGTCGGTTAAGGCCCAATCGCCACCGATGAGCATTTTTCCCATCTCCTTTTGTCTCTCCTCGTTTATCTGCTTGTCCTTCACGTCTTTCAAGTATCGAATGACTTTATTTTTTTTTTGACAGATGTCAATTTAAAATAAAAGTATATGTGATAATTCTGAAGAAAGACTTTTTGCTTAAAATTCTGGAGAAAAGGATCTTCAAACAAGATTATTTTTTTATTAAACTCTACTATTACAAGAATTGTGAACCAGCTAAAAAAATAAATAAACTTTTCGGTTTGCTCATGAATATTTCTATATATTATGATTTTATATCGATAGGTTTTAAAATAAATAAATAATACAAAGGGTAAACAAAGTCATTTATGGTAGAAATTTTTTAATTAGTCCTTGTAAGAGTATAGTGTTTGTTAAAAAGTCCGATTGTTTTAAAAAATGGTCCGATTCAGATTTCAGTCAAAATAGTATTATGTAAGCCTCGAGATCTGGCAAATAGAACGATTAAATAGCGCCGGGTTCAGGCTGACATACCGGTTTTTAAAAAAGCGAATCAAGTTCGGGTTTTTAACAACACATTTCTGTAGAGTACCTTATCAACAGGACTGTGAACCCTCGTTATAAAATGGTTGTGGTTTGGCGACAAATCCCTAAACTAGGTTCGGTTTTAGGGTATATACAAAAAATATGGACATAAAATTTGTTCAAAATAACCGACAATTTGGAATTTAGTTTGCATTCATACAATTTTGTTTTAGAATATCAATCAGTGTTTTTAAAGAAAACATTACTTTAAGACCCACCACCTCGATCATGGCATATCCATTAAAGGTAAAATAATAACACAGATGTCAACAGGAATATAGATTTTAGATAATCAAAAACTAACTGGGAGGCCATTGAAACTTGCATTTCGATATAACTATTTTGCTTACCTTATTTCAATAATCTAAAACTAGAATTATGCCGATATTAAATATCCGATCGAATCGAGGCGAATATTAGCGTTTTTGAAAGATAACCGATCGGGCGGGTATCTTCCGATCTTTTAATTGATTAACGGTTTTAAACGTTGTATTTTTTATATAAATAATAAACTCGCCTATTTTATTATTTTATAATTTTTTTTAAAGATGGTATCTTGGTTAAATTTCTTAACAGATATAGAGGATAGTCTACATGGTAAAATTTTATTGCCAGTGGTGTTCTTAAACGACCCTATTTTTTAAAAATTAGTTAACTCTATATTTTAGACAGAAAAATATAGCCCAAGCCTCGAGATCTCGATAACATATGTATGAACCTTTGTTCTCCTTCTGCGAACAAAATCCTCAGGCTTGCGTAATATTTATCTTGAATGGAATAATGAGTTAGCCGTTTTCAAAAAAAATGGCTCAAGACGAGCCGTTTAGCATCTCTAGTAATCTGTAGTCTAAAGTCTAAAAATAAATTAAGACTTTTTTTTAAATATAATTTACATATAATTCCGATGACCCCTATACTCACACTGATAGCTAACCTTTTCCACGTGAAAAACGAGAAAGAAGCGGTAGATTTATGACCGGAAGAAGGAGGTGGTGATATTTTTGGGGTTTGTTTGGATTTAGTCGAATCATTTGGGCCGCTTGAAGCTTGAGGGCTATTAAGAGAGTTGGGGTTGTTAGTGGGGTTCGTTTGACATAGCCATCTCAAATTGGGATTCTTGGTTTTGCAGGCAATTAAGAGTAGCGATCTTTGAACGGGTTTACAAGTATAATACAACATCCTGAGAAGATCATGACTCATAATAGTTTTTCTGTTTCGCTAAAAATTTATATGGAGAATAAAAGTTCTGCTTAAGAGAATGTAAAGGATGGGGAAATTTCAGGGCAAAAATAGAATCCCTTCCCCCTCCCTCCGAAAATTTTCCCACTTTTAATATTTTTTTAAAGATTAATTCTTTAATAATAATCGCGTGCTACTTTTAAAAATCGCTAATTAGTGAAGGTTACGGTACGGTATTTGGAGGGTCCAGACTATGGTTCTCAAGAGAAAGATCGGTCTGTCCAAAAGTCCAGTTCCGGTCTAAGACCGATAGGACCGGACAGTTGACCTTCACTACTAATTCAATTTTAAATAAGAAAACATAAAATTAAAATATTTATAATTAATTCTAAAATCATTTTCCTTTTTTTAAAAAAATTTAATATCATTTTCAAATATATATTTAAAAATCTATAATATAAATTTAGTTTTTAAAATAATTTAAAATGTAGAAGATAAGAGATTGATATTGAAGATAATTTTGGTATATATCATATCGACAGAATAATTTACATGAAAAATGATGATAATATGGGATGGAATTTCAATTTCCTAAACTCATAAAATATTTTAATCTCGGAAAAAAATTAACATAGAGTATAAATTTCATTGTAAGAAGTGCTGGAGTTATCATTAAATAAGATTAGTAGCTTCAACGAGGAAACATTTAGAAGTAGTATATCCACCCTCCCTAATCTTAAAAATAAAATTTAAATCAAAGCTGTATCTATAATAGTTAGTGAGCTAAATGAGTTTATGTGAAGGACGATTATCTGACCAGTCCAAAAATGGTTTGTCTCAACTGGCCATAAAATATTATTCAAAAATTATATTATATAAATTAAAAATTAAACAAATAATTAATATTTAACATTACATTTTATCATCAGACACATCTATTTAATAATAATATTTTATAAATTATTTCTAGATGCTAAACATGCTTAAAATTAACCACTCATCTATTTATATATTTATAAATTAAAACATGCTTAAAATTAACCACCAATATATATTTATAAATTTTATCAAAATATGCTAAAAATATACTTATTTTAATTCTTTCACATTTTAACCAATTTTGAGAGAAATTGGTTCACAATAGATAAAAATATAATGGGTGGTGATCTGGCAAGTTGGCAAACATGGTCATCAACTTATCTCCTAAATAATATTTATTCTAACTATTATAATTTTAAACTGACTATAACCAGATCAAAAACACCATCTGTAGATGATTTTTTTAAAAATAAATAATATTATTGAAAGTTTTTTAGACACATTTATATTAAAAATATGTATATTAAGTTTAATACAGCATTGGGCTAGAGTGTTGAATGATTATTTAGTCATGGCTTATACTTCCTGATAGTCACTCTAAACTTATTATTATTAAGATGCAATAAAAAAAATTATATACATTTGAAATTTTAGTTATATTTTTTATTTGTATAAATAGAGATATGTAAAAAATATTTAAAAAAATACATAAGTAGCAAATAACACAATGATTTTGTTAAAACGTTAGTGGTAGCACACTACTTATTTTTGTAAATGACTGTCTAAAACACATAATGCCCTATTTATTCCATCAAGCTCTCTTGTAGTAAGCTAGCATAGTACAGGGAAATTTTTTTTAGGGAAGAGGGAGCATACCTTTTACACACCAATTTTGAAAATAATTTATAGTTAATAAAAATTTATTAAGTCCAACTTAAAAATTTGTATTATAATATATATTTTTATTTTGCTGCTTTAAAAATATTTTTTCAATGCTATTATTGCTTTATTAATCTCATTTCAAAAAATAAAATAAAGTGTCCCGATATACATGCCCCATGTTACATTAAACCTCATTTTCCTTATTTCATCAAAAATGATTTGCTTCAAAATAATATTGAACATAATTTTAGATATTTATATGAAGCAAATAAGAATTTATAGAAACTGATTATATACTTATATGATTACATGATCAAGTTATGAATCATATAATTATAGAACTAACTGCACCTCAAAGAATCCATTTGTATTGCTATATTAATAATTAACATTCAAAATTGATTATTGTGAATATTAATTTGCATCATATTTTTCTTACCAAAATATTATATCATTTGTTTATTTATCTTTTTGAATAAAATAGGATTTAAAATTTGGATTCTTCCCCATTATGAACATCCAATTTTATAATTAATATATTATGGGATAAATATCTATTATGTAGATTCAACACTATTGAATTAAAAGCAGTTTTAAGAATTAATAAACACGTTTATTTATTCATAGTATAATCTACACTAATTCTTTAATTTTAATAAATATTAATATTATTTTGAGTAATAATTTCTTTAAATAAATAAAAAATTTAAAATGATATACTATTGTGAACTATATTAATTATATATATCTTGAAAATATACAAGAGAACTTTACAGACCTGACATTTTATATCAAATGTATACAAAAAAAAATTTAAATACTTTTTTCAATGAATGTATGTCCAATATGTAATCAAACCAAAAATTAAATACTTTTTTCAATGAATGTATGTCCAATATGTAATCAAACCAAAATTTATTAACCATTTTAAATAAATATAATTAATTCCATCCAATAATATATAGTTATATATATCATCATCTGATGGCTCTTTTACCAGACCAGCTCAGCTATCATTAAATAAATGCTTATATAACAAGTAAATATTTCAATAAAACGAGTTTCTATTGTAATCCCATACTGTAAATATTACCACATTACTTCACATATGTTCACGTCATTTTTAAATAATTATTCATGCAATAAATGTGACAGACTCACATTATCATTAAAATATTTTTTTCGTGAAGTCTAATTATATGTGTGGAAGAAATTAAAATTTTCCATTTTCTAAACATTTTAAAAAATTATTACATATATTTTTGTCCAATGTCTTTTTGCCACAAGGTATTTTTGTCTGAGATACGTTTGCCCGAGCCTTTATTCCAAGATGCCACTACCTAAGCTATCATCCTTATTCTCATTTCCATCGCAGACATTTTGAGTTATATAAGATTGATATATTGAACTATCAAATTGAAGAGGCAAATATTATATTTCACCATATGACACCTCCTCTCCCAAGAATCCCGATTTTTCTCTTAGTAAAAATCCTTAGAATTTTTCGAACACACTGTTTAAATTAATATTTCACATGATATCAATTTTATAATTATAGGCCGAATTTGACCTGCTATTGTATATCAGTTATTTTATATTTTAACCCCCTAAATCGAATTATTTTGTTTAATGATTTTTCATTTTGGCTATTTTAAACTTCAAAATTTTAAATGCCATTCATTTTGTATTTTTGTCAGCAAAAACAATTACTTTATAAAAAAGATCTACTAATGCAGATATTTTTTAAATATAATAATATTATATAACATATTATTTTATGGAAAAGCATCAAGAACCCATGAAAACTCTTGCAATGTTTCAATTCTTATATTTTAAATTACATTTTTGTTATTTTCTAAAACTATTTGAGTTGATTTATTTTTTTTGAATTATTTTAACATTTTAAATACACAATGTGAATCTGACATAAGTTAGTTCAAAAGGTTATTTTAATTTTAATTTCTTTTTACTTTAACTATATTTTTACTTTGGGTAAATTCCGGTATCACGTTAATTCTACGCGGAAAAATCGGCGCGGTGTCAATTCGGCTCAGCGCCAATTCAGCACAACAATTCGGAGCGTATCTAATACAGTTGCAATTTATTAGTATAAAACAAAGTATTCACACGTTGAATTGTCCCGGCGCCGAATTGACGTATAACCGTAAATTTCGGATATTAAAAAATAATCTTTTGATTTAAAACGAAACATATAAATATATATATTTTTTTAATTTTGGAAGAGATGAATAAAATAAAAATAGATGTTTAACTTACTTGAATCACACATACTTTTCATGGTTGTCAAGAACTTGGAACACTGACTCTTTAATATTTGTATGCAAGATTACGACGCTTTGTCAAATTATATATAAGGGAGACCAATCATATGAACCCGAGGTTCTTAGTCGTCTTGAAGTTTTAGACTTGAGTATTTAACTCTAATGATAAATATTTTTTAGCCAAATATTTATGACTATATTTTTTTTTTAAATATAGGATGACATATGAAATTTTTATAACACAATATACACTCAAAAGTAACTTTTTTAAATGTTGCAATTTATATAAATGAAAAATAATAGAGGTTAATTAATATTATATAAAAGATTAAACACTATTCCATAGAAAACTATTCTTATTTGAACAAAAGATATGTTTAAAACCAGGGTTACTCTTCAGTGTTCATATAAGCTATTTGAGCATTATTTAAAAAAAAAATTTTGCGTATTATATTAAAAAAAAGAAACAACTAAGTGATGAAACATTAATTTATTTAATAAAAATCCGTCTTTGCTAGCCGTTATAGAGAAAACAAACTTAAGTTATGCAACAGTAAAAAGATATAAATAAAAATTAATCAAGCAACGATTTTATATTGTCTACATCAAGACAAATATTCTAGAAAAGCAAGAAACTACAATATATAATTATTTTAAAATATGCATCTAAATTCTTTATTGGTCTATGTCTCTCGTAAATGCTCTTTTTGGGCACATTGAGCATCTTAATTTTAATCCACTCCCTATTTGTTTAAATTGTCAATAAAGTAGTCGTAATAATATATATGTATGATTTTAAGAATTAAAAATATTCATTATTTTTCAGCTCCAAAGCGCCTCGTGGGAAAGCTCATTCTTCCCCTTGTGTAGCTCATTCTTCCCAAAAAATTTTTCTCCGGAAAAATTAATACTAATAAAAATATAATTATCTAAAAACCGAAAAAAAGTATCTAAGAATGGGATGAAATTGGATATTTTATTATTCTATAAGATTTAATTTTTGATTTAACGTCTACATAAATATTATGAAATATTCATCTACATTCATTCTTACTGTTCACATTTTCCTCCGAATCAATAACTTGAACCAAATCGAAATTTGGTTTTTGTAAATTTCTACAAAGTAGTGAGCTATAGGAAAATAATTTATTAATGCAACTAGCAGTAAGGATAAACTCTGCTTGATATTGGGGGGAGGGTAAAATTTTTATTAGCTTAAAATGATATTTAGGAAAACAGTCAAATTTGCGATGGGGGGTGAAATTTCCCCCTCCTCCCCACATTGGTTATGCGCCTGGGTGCGTAAAAAATGCTAATGTCAGATATATTTTTTCAAAAATAGTATTGTTTACATTAATTTATATTTTGTAATATTTATTCCTCCTATATATTACAAATTATAAATTAAAAATATATATTTAAAAATAATTAAGCATACATTAAAAAATGGATTAAAAAAAAATATATATTATATATAAAAGAACAAAAAAAAAATTTTTTTTTAAAAAAAAGGGGTACAAATCACCCTAGAGAAGAGTGAATGCTTAAAAAATTGGACCGGCAGATTTCCAGGGAAATCTGCTGACGAGGGTAAAATCCTTCATTGGGGTCCCCTGAGATCTGCCTCATTTTTTTCCCTATGGTTTTAATTAAAATGAGATTTTATTAAATATATATTTAACCATTTCGAGCCCGACTTTTATCTCCCTCGATGAAAAAAAATTTTTTTTTTTTGTAAAAGATATTTATTATAAGCCCAAATAACACATTTTAATCTAGTATTTCTATCGAAAGATATTCAATGATTCCAATTGTAAATGGGCAAAATGCAAGTTCATTTAAAAAATATTTCATTTCATATGAAATGACAAATAACAATTTCGTTTATTATTTAAACATAAATAAATATTACATTTTTGGCAAATACTTGCGCCTTTGCTTAATATTTACGAGCATTGGGTACTTGGTCATATCTTATATCCGATATAGGGGCAATATTGATAGCTTTTCTTCTTTTTACAACTACACCAAAAGGTGTTACGGTCTTCTTAGTATTGTCCTTTCCAATCAGCCCTTTTGCTACTGAGGTTTAAATACCAGTAGTGTCATAAATTTTTAATTATTTCATGAGGCGTCTATAAAGGAGCCAGGCATTTACCACACAAGAATCCAATAAATAATAAACCATTCGCATATAATATCGTTTCCATTTAATATCTGTCCGATATAACTCCACCAGCATATCGCGAAGATCTACTTTACCCATTCCCTCATTTTAATTTTTAATTATTGCGGGTATTTATACATTTATAAAGACTTTATCCGAAACAGACTATCGCTTAACTTTGGTTGTAGGTAAAACACCTATAAAGTTAGATATAGTAGTAACGGCTTTGTTGTCCTGTCTAATGTTGTTAAACGGCTCGTTTTGAGCCGATTTTTAAAAACGGCTAACTCAATATTTTATCCAGAGGAATACTACGCAAGCCTGAAAATTTTGCTCAAAGAAGGAACAAAGGACTAGACACATATTGACCATATCTTGAGGCTTAGACAATATTTTTCAGGCTAAAATATTGAGTTAGCCGTTTTAGAAAATCGGCTCAAAACGAGCCGTTTAACAACACTAGTCCTGTCCTGCCACTTGCAGATAATAATACCATTCTTTTCGTTTTTGTAATCTATAGCGTCTCTTCCTTCTCTTTTTTTAAAATCCTTATTATTTTCAAGTTTGCACCCTGATAAGCGATTCGATCTTACCGTTCCTGATACCAAATATCCCCTTTTTTTAAGAATCAAATATAATTGGTATGAAGAGAAAAAAATTATCCATATATAATTTATGGTTTTTATTTGAAGGTATATTATTTCCGACAGACAAAGAACTATATCCTCACTGATACCTAAACTCCTGCTATATTTCAAAATCATGCATCAACCCTAAGGAAGAGTCGCATAGCTAACACTTTTATTCCCCATTTATGGAGCTTCGATTTAATTTATTGTCGTAAAATTCGTCTTTGGCTAGCTTCTCTTCAAGATAAATTTTTTTGAAATTTTTTTTTTAGTTGTAATATGAATGTTTGTTGAATAATTTGTTGTATCTTTTGTCATCCCTAGTTACCGTGCGACATAGTTTTCGCTATTTGTGGGATAGATGCTTCAAAATGACTAATATTGTCTTATAGATGGCATCTTTACTAAGCTAATATATAAATGTATACCAATAAATTTTTCAATTTCATCGCTATCTTTATTTATAGATTTACTAGAACATTGGAAAGAATAAATTATTCTTTCCGATTCAAAATTGCTAATTATCTGATTGTCCAAACATGAAAATATAAATAGAAATTCTTTCTTTTGAATAAAAATGTTATATTTCTTACATCAGAATCTTAGGATTTATTGTAATGTAGACCCTTTTTTATTTATCCTGGTAAAAAAAAAATGATATTTTTCCAGTTAAATTTTTCGAGATATATCTTTTGTATGTGGCATGTCTAGATTTATCTCCCTCTCCCTCTCACAAATTTTTCTTACTTCCACCTTCCAGTGCCTAACCCTTGAAAGATAT